GCATTCCCGGATTCCTCCGGGCTTAAAACTCCCCGGCCCTTCCCATCAAGAGGGATTTGAAGCTGGGGAGAGGAGGGGGGTGTGTGTGGGGGGTGTGTGTGTGTGCTTATTTCCCAGCTCACCCATTACGCCCGGGAATTAGGATCCATTACTACTGGTTTGGTGGGGCCAGGGGCCCCCCCTGCCCGACATCTGCACCCCCTCCCCAGCGCTAATGCACCGGGCTCAGCCCCAGCTCCCGGCGGCCCTTATGTAAATAAAGTGCAGGGGCAAAGATTTTGATCCCATTAGGCAGGATTAGTGCCTTGTGAGGCCCTGGCATTAAAATGTCATCGGTGGTGGAGGGAGAGAGCCGGTGTCATCCCAGTTTCCATCCCTTTTCCCTGTTGCCAACCCTTGGCATCCCCTTTATCCCAATCTGTCGCCGCCAGCAGCTCGGCTCAGCCCGGAGGCAGCATCCCCTGCCCTGCTCAGCCCCAGGGTCACCGGTGTGGGCAGGATGGAGATGGCACGGTTTGGTGGCACCTTTCTGCATGGAGGGGACCGTGCCGGGCTTGGCACGGCGTGGCATGGCATGGCACAGCACCCGGGGAGCTCGGCGCCGTCCCGCGCCGCCGGCAGATGTGCAGATGTTGCCGGGGACGCCTCTCGCTGCCGCCTGTGTTTGGAAAGTGATGAATTTCTGCACCAACTAATTAGTCTCTAATTAGCAAGCGGAGTGTAAACAGTCACAACAGATGGGGGAGAGGCGGAATTAGCAATAATGACCCTTGGTTTTTGGGGGGGGGTCGTGGCTGTCATGCCCCGGGAAACCTCCCGCCAAGGTCTGGGATGGGGGGGAATCGCAGCCCCCGCTCTGTGCCAGCTCAGTGATGGGGCTGGGATGTGGTGGGCACCCTCTGCACCCCAAATTTGGTGCTGCCATGGGTGGGGTGGTGGGAGAGGGGAGCTTCCCCCAGCTTTGGCTTTCCCAGGGGAGTGGAGAAACTGGGGAGGGGGGAAAGGGGGGCACTGGGGAGCTGCTGGGTCCGAGGCGGCGGCCGTGACCTTCGCGGGAGGATAACGATGGCACGATCAATAGTGGAATTAGGAGCTGCCTCTCCTCCTCTGCGCCGTTTTTCACCCCTTAATGCAGAACAGATGGCTCGGGCGCTTCAAAGCGAGATGAGCCTTAGCTGCTTAAAATCAAATTAGGCTGTATGCAAACGGCGCGCCGGCCCGAGGGGAAGGTGCGCCGAGGAGCATCCTGCTGCCTAAACACCTCCCAGACACCCCCCCAAACGCCTCCCTCCCCTGGTGCTGGGTGCTGGGTTCAGCCAGGGGCATGCACTGAATGCGTCAGGTCTCAGTCCCGGTGCTTTTGGCCGGGTCCCAGCAGCAGGACCCTGTGGTTGGGCTCTTTGGTGAGGCTCGTTGTGTGTGTGGCCACCACCGGTGCCTGGGGACCAGCCATGGGTCCTTGCTGCAGCGATGCATTCCAGACCCCCCAGTTCAGTCCGTGGCTCATTTACTGGTTTCATGCAGGAGGTATTTGGCCCCGGAGCTGGTGCCTGGCTGTGCCATGGCCCCCACTGGGGGCTGCCATAATCCCCCAGGTCTCCAGCCTGACGTGGGCGAAGCCCCGGTTGTTGCAGGTCAAGCTCCTGCCACGCCGTGGTGGGGACACGTGTGTGCCCCCTCCCACGCACACACCTCCAGAGGTGCCACATGCCCCTGGATGTCCCCGCCAGCCCAGTGTGTCCCTCACTCCTCGGGCATCCCAAAAGCCACAGCTTGGCCACCTCAGGGCTGCCATGAGCCCTCCAGACCGAGGAACCACGTAGCCATGGACGGGCTGGGCTTGCAGCCAGCTGCCCTGGGTGCCAAACCCCCTGGCTGGGCCACCAAGCTGCCGTGGTGCCCATGGGCACCTCTCTGCCCCATCTGGGACTCACTGGGAAGCTGGGCTGCTGTGGGGTTCGGCCCCACTGCCCCCACACCTGCTTTTGGGGGTGCCCTGATGCCCAGATCCTGGCGCTGGGATAGGGTCTGCCCACAGCCAGTGCCGCTGAAGGTCAGCGAGGAGGATTAAATTAAGGAGCCACCAGCTGCTCCTTCCCTGCCTAATGACCTGCCTGGTGTTTAGCACCACCGTGCCCACCCCGGGGACAGGAGGGTGGAAATCAGATGGGCATTTCCACCTGGGTGCAGCGAGTGGGCACCCCGGGGATGTGCAGGAGCCGGGCACCATGGGCGAGGAGAGAGAGGGGGACCCACAGTGTGGGTCTGGGGGTGTCTGGGTGCCTCTGAGTTCCTGCAAACTCGTGACACCCCCCGTGGTGGTGGGGCAGGGGAGCGGGCTGAGCCCACGGGGGCTGCTTTGGTGCCAGCTCGCGGTGCGGAGAGCCACGGCAGGGATTCAGCTCGCGCACACAAGAAAAGAGAAGCCCTACCCCAAAGTAAAAAACCCAAAGCCGTGATTGAAAGCGCACTTGAAAGCTGCTGGGGAATATGAATGTGCCTTTGAAGTAAAAGGGCTTCCATTTGTTAAGCAGAAAATGGAGCTGTGTGTTTCGATTTATAGTTTTACTTAGCAAATAAAACAGGAGAGGAGTAAGTGTTTATGTCTCGCTCCGCTCCCAGCCCCTCCGCCCCCTTCGCCCCCCGAGTTAAAAGCTCAGTGCTTCTGAAACACTACAAAGGCAGCCAGGAATAAAGCAAAGCAAGCAGCTTAGATAAACCCTAGATGGGCTAAGCTCTTGTCGATAGGCTTGTGAGATGGCTCGGGGGGGGGGGACAACGGTCAGTGGAAGGGTCTGGGGGACATGGACAGGGGGATGGGGAGGTGGCCACCAACATCCTCCTGCTCTTGTGCTGCTGGGCTGTGGTTGTGCCCGGGATGAAGTGGTCCTGCTGCCGTGGGGCTGGCAGGGTGTGGGGCAGGGCATGTCTCTCACCCCCTTTCATAGGATCATAGAATGGTTTGGGTTGGAAGGGACCTTAAAGATCATCTCATTCCACCCCCTGCCCTGGGCAGGGACACCTCCCACCAGCCCAGGTTGCTCCAAGCCCCCTCCAACATGGCCTTGAACCCCTCCAGGGATGGGGCAGCCACAGCTTCTCTGGGCAACCTGGGCCAGGCTCTCACCACCCTCCCAGAAGATTTTCATCCCCAGATCCCATCTCCATCTCCCTTTTTTCAGTGTCAAACCCTTCCCCCTCCTCCTATGGCTCCCCTCCCTGATCAAGACTCCCTCCCCATCTCTCCTGGAGCCCCTTGAGGGACTGGAAGGGGCTCTAAGCTCTCCCTGGAGACCCTTCTCTCCCCGCTCTCCCTTCTCTTCTCCGGGTTGAACCCCCCCAGCTCTCTCAGCCTGTCTCACACCGTTTCCCTCCTCTCTCCACAGACGATGTCTCCCCATATTTTAAGACGGAGCCGGTGCGGAGCCAGGTCCACCTGGAGGGGAACCGCCTGGTGCTGACGTGCATGGCAGAGGGCAGCTGGCCCCTGGAGTTCAAGTGGCTCCACAACAGCCGGGAGCTGACCAAGTTCTCCCTGGAATACCGGTGAGTCCCCACCGAATCCCACTCAGACACACTGGTCCCCGTCGGCGGCACAGTGGGCATCACCGGTGCCCGGTTGAGGGGATGCCATCCCAGGGTGGCCAGGATGCGTGCAGGGAGCTGCCCACCTCTGTTTGGAGAGCAAACGGTGGATTTAAGCAAGTCAACATCAGCCAGGAGGCGTTTGCACAAGGGGGATTAACACCGGGACACAGATCACGGCCGGATCGTGGCTCCCCGAGAACAGCCTGACCCAGGGAAGGAGCAAGAAATCACCCCAGGTTTGGGCATCCAGCCCTGTGCCCGGCTCATCCTGCCACGGAGTGGCCGGTCCCACGTCACTGCCCGCTTGGAGCTCGCCTTTAAATCAAGCCGGGCACCTCTCGCCGTCCCTTCTGCGCGCGTGTGTCATCCTCTCTGTTTTAATCAATAATTCAGCCCGAGACAAGCCGTTCCCCGTTTAAAGGCATTGAATCCAAAGGCTTCGTGTTGCTGTAGCAACGCGGGGCTGCTCCGGGATGCCAGGAACGCAGACAATGTGGCTGGGTGACGTACCCTCCCCGGCACCGTGTGCCATGCTGGGTGTTGTGTCCCCTCCCCGGCACCATGTGCCATGCTGTGTCCCCTTCCTGGCACTATGTGCCATGCTGGGTCCCCTCTTTGGCACCATGTGCCATGCTGTGTCCCCTTCCTGGCACCCTGTGTCATGCTGGGTCCCCTACTTGGCACCATGTGCCATGCTGGGTGCTGTAGCAGCACAATCCTTGGGGCCACCCTTGGGGACAAATGTCCCCCACCAAACCGTGGTGGCTGCAGCTCTGTGATGCCCCCAGTGTCCCAGGCTTGGTGCTGGGTACCCCGTAGGACGGGTCCCTTGTCCCTAAGCCCCAGTGTGGAAGCACAGAGAGACCTGTTGAGCCCCACGGATCCCACCTGGTGGGAGTTGTGTTGGCTGTGGTGGGAATAATATGACACATCAGTCCTTAAATGGGATTGTGGGGACAGTGGGGACAGCAGGACGGGGGGACAGAGTCCATGCAGGGGCTCCACGCAGCGCTGGGCAGGAGAAAGATGTCAGGACCCCATCTTTGGAGTGGGTCCGGGTGTCTGGGGGGCACCTCCAAACCCAGAATGGGGTCTCCTGGGCTCGCTCCGTGCCTCAGTTTACCCTTCTGTAGGAAAGGGGCCAGCGCTGATGTCTCTGCACTGCCTGGGGACACTTGGCAGCCCCACATCCCCATGCCAAGGTGACTCCCTTTCCCCGAAGCCCCCATTCCCCCTCCCACCCCCGGCTCCAGCATCCAGCCAGAAAGGATTAAGGAAGGAAGCGAGAAAAATAAACAAACACGTGGGGGGAAACCCAAACAAACCCAGCCGGGGCTAATGAAGCAAACAGCCTCTATGCAAATCCCTGCCTGGCTTTAACCCGTCCGTCCTCTCCGTGCCGAGGACACAGCCTGGCACAGCCTGGCAGCATCGGCTCCGTCCTGCCCGTCCCGGGATCCCCGCGGGGATTTGAAGGCGTCGAGATGAGGGTTTGGACCTTCTCGCCTGGAATTGAAGGCTGCCGGGGAGGGAGGGAGGGAGGGAAGGAAGGAGGCAAAGGACCAAAATTAGTTATGATGGGCAGAAATTGAATTTTAATAGAGATGTCGGTGGCATGGAGCCAGCCTGCTCAGGCAGTGGGAAGGTAGTAATTAAAAGTTAACGAGTTTAGAAACAGAGTAATCCTTGGAGAGGGGAGGGCTGGTGCTGATGGCCGGGGAGGCTTAGGGATGCTCCTGTCCGTGCCGGGCTCAGGAATGGCTGTGGGTGCATCGGCAGCGTGGGTGAGGGATGTGGGGTGCAGCCAGTCCCCCCCAGCTTGGGGTTGGCATGTGGCCCCTCGGGGGGCAGGAGGGACCTTCCTCAGGGGCTGGCTGTGCCCGTGACAGGATGCCCTGTGCTTTGCAGCAGGGCCATGTGCTGTGAGGAGCTGTGACCGGGGGAGCCAGGGGACTTGGTGGCATCGTGGCCAGGACCGTGTGTCACTGAGTGTTTCGCCCTCAGCATCCTCACTTCTCCCCAAATCCTCTCCTGCAGCAGGGCATCCCACTGGCACTGCCAGCTCCTGGTGCCCTTGTACATTTTATCCCTTTTTTTAAGGAAGGGGGCTGTGGGCTGGGGCTCACGCCCCCCTCAGTCCCGTGCTCCCCACGAGCCACCCCGATTCATCCTCAGCTGATGGTGGGACTCGCTCAGCCTTTGGAGGGAAGGAGCCTCTCTCCCAGTTTGGCAGCGTGTTTCCATGGCGACCGCCCTTTCCTTCCCGCAGCGATGCAGCCGCCAGCTTGCTGCCGGAGAGACTTGTTGGCGTGTGGTGGTGAAGGGCAGGTGGGGAACGGGCTCTCAGCTCCCCTGGCCACGGGCCGGCAGGAGCCCAGGCAGTCCCGCTGCGTCCAGGTGGAGCCGACCCCTTGGGAGCATCTCTGAAACCCTGGGGAGTGGGATCAGGGACCATCTTGGCTCCGTGTGTGTGCAGTCATCCTCCCTCAGGAGCATCCCTGGGGATCGAGTGTGATCGGGGACCATGGAGGGATTGGGGACCAGCCTGACTCTGTGTGTGCGTGGAGCCACCTCCCCTCAGGAGCATCCCTGGGGACCACGGGGGATCAGGGACCAGCCTGGCTCTGTCTGTGTGTGTGTGTGGAGCCATCCTCCCCTCGGGAGCATCCCTGGGGATCACGGAGGATCAGGGACCAGCCTGGCTTTGTGCACATGTGGAGATGTCCTCCCTTGGGAGCATCCCTGGGGACTCTGAAGAATTGGGGACCAGCCTGGCTTTGTTCATCCATGGAGACGTCCTCCCTTGAGAGCATCCCTGGGGACCGTGGGGGATTGGGGACCATCCTGACTGTGTGCATGGAGCTATTCCCCCTTGGGAGCATCCCCAGGGACCACGGGGGACTGGAGACCAGCCTGACTGTGTGGCTGGAGCCATCCCCCCTCAGGAGCACCCTTGGGGTCTGGGGGGGCTGCCTTCACCCCACTCACTGCCTCCATTGCCCGCTGCCGTGTTGGGTGCGTGGAGATGTCTCTCCTGTGGGACCCCAGCTGCCTCCCACGCCTGGGGACCCCACAGCAGAGCCCCATCCCCTCCGTTGCCCGTTGTGACCTTCGTTAAGGTGATGATGGGGTGGGTGGGGGATGCTTGTGGGCACGCTGTGCTCCCGTGCCCTGGCACGCCGGCGCCGCGCTCTCCGGGGCCAACTCTTGTTTTTCCCTGCATAATCTCGCCGGTGCCGGGCTCTCCTGCGAGCTCTCCCGAGCCTGACTTCTCCTCGTACCAGGAATCATAACATGCAAATCAGGCAGCTTGATGTCTTTAATGAAATCCTCGGAAGGAAAAGCGCTTCTCTGGTGGATTGAGGATATTTATTTCTCATACAAGAAATTTAACATGCAGATTAGTTGGGCCTGGTAATTTATCACATGAGATTGTCCTATTAAGGGTTGCATCGAGTCCTGCTGCCTTCGGAAATTACCTTACACATAGATTACCTCTGGACAGACTCCCATCCGTAGAGATGCATCTTCCATCTACTAAATCAGCTTCCTTTCTTCTCCCCACGTCCCTCCGCAGCTGGTGTGGGAGCCCAGCAGCTACTAAAGGATCCCCCGCCTCTTCCCAAGAGCCCAGATCCCCTTTGCCGGGAGCTTGAAGCCCAGGAAAGTGTAATTACATCTCCGACACCCGCTGGCTTCCCCCCTCCCTCAGCAAATCCGGGCTGGCACAACAGAGTCTCTGGGTTTCTCGTGCCCAGCGCCGCCCCACGGCCCCTCGCCAACACCCCCGAGCCCCAGAGATGTTTTTCCAGCACGTGGTGCCTTCTACCCATCTGCTTCCACCTGTGGGGAGGTGGGCAGGACCCGTCCTTCGTGGCCTCACTGAGGAGGGGGAGATCTGGGACTGTTTTAACCCCCCCTCGCTGGTTTGGGATGCTTTTGGGGATGCAGGAGCCACGGCGTGCTCCCCACATGGGACCCCACCAAGCCTTTGTGGCCTTTTGAGGACCCCAGGTGTTTGATACCTGTACTTTGGTCCCAGATTATGTAAAACATGGGGCCAGGACCCTCTCAAAAACACAGGTTTGGGGCAAACGGGGCACACACCCCCCGCCAAGTTCCCTGCTGGGACCCCAACCCGTGTTGGGAGCTCGTTGTCCCTCCTCTGGCTGGACCAGCCCAGGTGTGAGGCACAGCCCTCTCCCCTGGGGAGCTAATTGCCCTTCAATAAGATAATTAACAGGAGCTAATGAGCATCAGAGGGGTTGTGGCCAGGCTGGGTGGGAGCCCAGCAGTGAGCTCCTGGTGCTAGCTCTGTGTTTGGCATTGCCCACGTGGTAAAGCCCCCTGGGGGGGCAGCACCCAGCTGGTAATGGGGAGCACGAGGTGGACTTTGCTGGTGGTGCTGGGGCATCTCCTGCCTTTCTCTGTGCCCTGTTTGGCCTTGAGGGGGACATGGGGGCGGTTCTTGGTGATGCTTGGCCATTTCCAGGTGGAGTCACCATCCCTGGAGGTATTCAAGAAACGTGTAGATGTGGCACTTCAGGGCATGCTCTAGTGCCCAAGATTGTTGGGGTTTGTGTGTGTGTGTGTGTGTTTGAACTTGATGATCTCAAAGGTCCCTTCCAACCATGAAGATTCTGTGATTCCTGCCTTTCTCTGTGCCCTGTTTGGCTTTGAGGGGGGACATAGTGGGATTCTTGGTGATGCTCGGGCATCTCCTGCCTTTCTCTGTGCCCTGTTTGGCTTTGAGGGGGGGCATGGTGGGATTTTTGGTGATGCTCGGGCATCTCTTGCCTTTCTCTGTGCCCTGTTTGGCTTTGAGGGGGCCATGGTGGGGGAGGTTGGTATGAGGAAGCAGCAGCGCTGCCTTTCTCTGTGCCCTGTTTGGCTTTGAGGGGGACAAGGTGGGGGAGGTTGGTATGGGGAAGCAGCAGCAATTGCTGGGCACAGGGCAGTGGTGCCCAGGAGCTGTGTGAGCATCAGGGCTGGCAGGAGATGCAGGGGGGGGACGTGATGGAGGGGAGCTCCTTGCTGGGACCTTACGTGGGCTCAGGCAGCCCCAGGAAGGAGCCTCAGACCCGAAGATGCCACCTGAGCTGGGTGGTGGCCACACTCCTGGCAAGGGACACACCGGAGCCCTCCGGATGCCACAACCCGGATTGAGGCTCGGGCGTTTGTTCCCCTCCCTGCTTGGCAGGAAGGCAGCAGATTAATACGTGGGCATTAATTATTAAATGGCTCGTTGTTCTGGCAGGGCCAATTGAGGCGGCGATTTACGGGGCTGAAATCCTCCTGCCCCAAAGGAAAACACTTCTGGCGAGCGGAGAGGCGACAGCTCCGGCCGCCTGTGTCCAAACAGAGCCCTTTCCAATCAGGAGCTAATTGAGATCCAATAATACAGTTAACAGGGGCTGATGAAATCCCAGGGGGGGTCATTTAAGAAGATATTGAGCGGCAGCCCAGCGCGGCGGCCGGGGGTGCTGGGCCGCCTGGCTCAGATGCTGGGAGTCGTTAAACCTTTGCTAAGTGTGTTTTAATGCTCACTTGACATTTCATTATCGCACAGTAACTATTCAAATACATGTCCCCTCTAGAATTAATTAGTCGTTATACAGGATATTAATCAAAGGGGGACGGTGCCAGTGTGCTTATATCCAAAATCCGATCCAGCTGTTGCCGTTACTGGGCGGCATTGGAAAGGGGCCGCACAGATTTCTGCGCTCTTCTGGCTTTCAGTTTGATGGATCAAATCCTTTGGCTGATGCTTTTCCCGGCCCCTCTCCACCCCCTCAATCTAATAATAATTCGGCAGCATCAGCCCCACGCTTCTCAGCAACCCTACGATAACGGAGCCGGGAGCACCAGCCAAGGCTGGGGCACGGCGTTGGTGGAGCGAGGGGGCTCCACGATGCCACGAGAGACCCTACAATAACGCAATTCCGAGCGTGTTGGTGCTGCTGGTGCCTGGCCAGGGTTGCACGGTGAGGGTTTGGGGGGTGGTTATGGCTGATCCGTGCTCTGCCCTGACTCATGGCACTGATGGATGGACGGATGGATGGATGGATGGGTCATCGTCCCCGACGTGCAGCCCATCCATCTGTCAGATCAACCCGGTGCCAAAGCCATCCGCAGACCTGCTGCCTCTGCAAACCCTCTGGTCACCCCCCCTGGCACAGGGATTCTGGCTCCGGAGCCCCTCTTGACCCCGGGGCCAAGTGGGGTCACAGCTGGTTCCTGGCTGAGCCGGGAGATTGCCCCTCATCTCCATCAGTGCCCGTTTTTTGAAGCGTGGGTCAGTCCTGGCTTCGGAAGTGCTTTTCCCCACAGAGGGTGCCCTGTCAACCTCCCGTCTTTTAAAAACAAACCAAAATAGCCCCTGAAACGGCGGCGTCAGCAGCAAGGGCTACACTGTGGGGCACAGCCAGGCCCCCCCTCCTGGCTCTGTCGGTGCCAAACGTGTCTCCGGGCTGGTAGATGGGCAAAGCGACCCGGTTGGGGCAGGATCAGAGGATGCTTGGATGGCACCTTGGATCCAGGAGCTCCTGGCCACGGAGGAGCTGCTGTGGCTCCTGGCAGCTCCCTTTGCTCAAACTTGGGGTGGGGGGAGAGGGGGGCTGGGGCTGCACCCCTCCTCCTCCTGCCTGCAGCACGTTACCGTGATGGGGGGAAGGAAATCAAATTGGAGCTGATTTTGGATAAAAGCCTGGGTGGAAGCCGAGCGGCGGAGAACAAAGTCTCTGCTGGTATTTGGTTAATGACTGCGGGCCAGGCTGCGCCCGGTAATTGATTTCCTTTCTCTGGGGCTATTTTCAGCCGTTTAGGTGCGTGCATAAAGCTCAGCTCTGGAATAACTCTCCAGCTCTGGGGGCTCAGGGACCAGGCCCCGCTAACTGGGGCTGTGGGGGTGTCCCCATCACGGGGGGGTGAAGCTCCTGGTGCCCACGGAGGTGTCCCATGTCCCGGCTCCCAGCACCGCAGGGGGGGAGCTGCTGTGGCTCCTGGCAGCTCCCTTTGCTCAAACTTGGGGTGGGGGGAGAGGGGGGCTGGGGCTGCACCCCTCCTCCTCCTGCCTGCAGCACGTTACCGTGATGGGGGGAAGGAAATCAAATTGGAGCTGATTTTGGATAAAAGCCTGGGTGGAAGCCGAGCGGCGGAGAACAAAGTCTCTGCTGGTATTTGGTTAATGACTGCGGGCCAGGCTGCGCCCGGTAATTGATTTCCTTTCTCTGGGGCTATTTTCAGCCGTTTAGGTGCGTGCAAAAGCTCAGCTCTGGAATAACTCCCCAGCTCTGGGGGTTCAGGGACCAGGCCCCGTTAATTAGGGCTGTGGGGGTGTCCCCATCATGGGGGGGTGAAGCTCCTGGTGCCCACGGAGGTGTCCCATGTCCCGGCTCCCAGCACCGCAGGGGGGGTGAGCGTCGGTGGGTGCTTTGTGTGTGTGAGCCCCAAAGTTTGGGCTGGTTTGGGTCCCATGGGGTGGCTCGTGGGGGGTTTGCACCATCCCAGGATGAGGGTTTGGAGGGGACGTGGCAGGGGGTGACAGGGGGGTCTGTGTGGGGACCACACGTGTCCCTCTGCTGCTGGGCGAGCAAGTGAGCATCAGTCTGTCTGTCTGTCCGTCCGTCCCCACACACACGTGTGTTTAGGAGTCACCGCGTGTGCGTGTGATTTATTAACGAGGACACCCCAAGGAGAGCGGGCCCATTATTCCCGGGTGTCCGCATCACTTCCTGACAGCTCCCTGGAATTGAAATATCTTATTTAAAGCCTCTGGGGATCGTTTTTTTTAAATATCAGCTGTGACACTCAAGGACTCGTTCCCAAAGGGAACGTCCTTCCCTCCTCCCACGGGGACGGGTGACCCCCTGGCACGCCACGTGGGTGGGTGGGTGTCAGCAAGGTTGGATGCCAGCCCTGCTGTGCCCATCCCGGCTCGGTGGTGCCACCGGGTGAGGTGGGAGCCCCCCGTGTCCCCGTCACCATCTCCCACAGCAGGGGGGTGGGTGTGGGGACCCGCTGCGCTTCCCGGCAGAGGGAAACGTGCTCCTCGTGTCTTATGAAAGTTTAATTTACGCTCCATTATCAAAAGAACAAACAAAGCTCTGCCCAAACAGCCGGCGGCAGGTTTTAATGCAAGATTAGATTTTGGGCAAGGAGGGCTGAGCTTGGTTATTTATTCCCTTCCTGCTCTCTCCCGGAGCGCTTCCCGTGGGGGAAGGTGATGCTGTGGTGCCTGCTCAGCCCCCACCCCCCCTGGGATCACCCACCTGTGAGGCTGGTGCTGGGGGGGGCATCCAGCCCATTTTGGGGGGTGATGGAGCAGGAGTCCCTGCATCCCTCCTGGGGCTGGGGGAGGTCTGGTGGCAGCAGGGTCCAGCCTGGGGACCTGGGAGGTGCTCAGGGTTGGGGGGGTGAGTCCAGACATGGTTATTTCCTTTATCTGCTTATCAGCTGCTGGCGCTGGGGGCTGATAAGAGCAGTGGCCCTGGTGGGGGAGGAGAAGGTGGCCCAGTCCTGGCTAATGGTAGCCACGCTGGCTTGGCCACGTGTGGGGCTGAGGTGGAATGACCCTGGCAGACCTCAGTGTGCCTCTGGTTGGGGGTCAGGACAGTGGGTGCCAGGTCCCTGGCAGCCACCTTGGCCTTTGACAGCTCGAAGCCACTTGCCCGGTGCCTGTGGCTCCTCGTGGCCATGAGTCACCATCCACCCCTGCCATCCTTTGCCCGGTGACTCATGCCATGTGTGTGATGTGGTGAAAGCACCTCCTGGGTGCGTGGCCACCAGTCCCCCTGCAGCAGCGAGGGCCACTGTGTCATCCCTGCAGCGTGCACGTGTGTGCACATACATGCTTGCACACGCATGTACATACATACACACCCCCCCCCAGCAGCTGCTCCTCGGGGTCGGTGCCCAGCAGTAAATGGGGAGCTTGTGTAGGACCTGCAGCCTCTCCTGGGGGCTGTGATGGTCACTTGGATGTCCCCCCCTGCAGCTGGGGTGGGTGGTGGTGAGTCCTGGCGTGTGCTGAGGTGGCCCCTCTCTCCTGCAGGTACATGATCACGTCGCTGGACCGCACACACGCCGGCTTCTACCGCTGCATCGTCCGCAACAGGATGGGAGCCCTGCTGCAGCGCCAGACAGAGGTGCAGGTGGCCTGTAAGTGACAGCCACGCTCGGGGAATGGCTGGGGACACCCAGCCCCATGGGGACACCCAGCCCCACGGCGCTATGGGGTGGCTGGGGTGCTCGGTGCAGCCCGTGGCCAGGACACGCGAGTCTGGAGCATCCCTGGGGTGATGCTGGCAGGGCTGCAGCGCCAGACAGAGGTGCAGGTGGCCTGTAAGTGACAGCCACGATCAGGGAATGGCTGGGGACACCCAGCCCCATGGGGACACCCAGCCCCACGGCGCTATGGGGTGGCTGGGGTGCTCGGTGCAGCCCGTGGCCAGCACACGCGAGTCTGGAGCATCCCTGGGGTGATGCTGGCAGGGACGGGGCTGTTGCTGCCTCTGCTGCTCCCACTGACCAGTCAGGCCGTGGTGTTTGAGGGTGCAGGGGGGGCACCCCATGGGTAGGACAGAGTGTGGGGTGCAGGAGGAGAGCACCAGGGCTGGGAAACCCACAGCACCAGGCTGGAGGCTCTGCACGGATCCTGCAAGCCATCAGATCTGGACAGGATGGGCCAGACCTTGGTGGGAGGTGGGGGTCAGAGGCACCACGGGGGGGTTAAGCAGGACAGGAGGGTGCTGAGGCCCGGGAGGGTGGCTCTGTGTCCCCCATCTCTGTCACCCCTCGGCTCCAAAATACCCCCCAATCCCATCCCCTTAAACCCCTTCCTGAGGAGCGATGACAAATCAAGAAGCTAATGAGAAATTAATAAGGCAGCTGTGCTAACAACTAATGATAATGGCAAAGTCGTTAAAAAAAGATTCTTTACATGTTTTTAATTACAGCAATTAAGGGAAGTCAATAAAAATTCCCCCCCCCCTTCCCTCTTTCTCCCTGCCCCCTGCTTCGCTCTGCTTTCCCCAGCCGCTGTCGTGCTGGGCAGGATGGAGCCAGCGGGATGCGGAGCTGAGGTCGTGCTGGGATTCTCCTGGGGCTGAGCCATGGGATGGGGCAGGGAGAGATGCTGGGGAGCCCCGGGACTGACCCCCCCCTTGCTGCAGCTGCGCCCCGTCCTTGGTAGGGGACACAGGAACCGGGATGGATCCTGGTGTAGATCCCACCACCATCCCATGAGGCCTCACCTTGAGTACTGTGTCCAGTTTTGGGCCCCCTACCATAAAAAAGACATTGAGGTGCTGGAGCGGGTCCAGAGAAGGGCGACAAAGCTGGTGAGGGATCTGGAGAATAAGTCTTATGAGGAGAGGCTGAGGGAGCTGGGGTTGTTCAGCCTGGAGAAGAGGAGGCTGAGGGGAGACCTTATTGCTCTCTACAACTCCCTGAAAGGAGGGGGTAGAGAGATGGGGGTCGGTCTCTTCTCTCAAGTCACAGGCGACAGGACGAGAGGAAATGGCCTCAAGTTGCGCCAGGGGAGGTTCAGGCTGGATATTAGGAACAATTTTTTCACTGAAAGGGTTCTCAGCCGTTGGAATGGGCTGCCCAGGGAGGTGGTTGAGGCCCCATCCCTGGAGGTGTTCAAAAGCCGGGTTGATGTAGTGCTGGGAGGTCTGGTTTAGTGATGATGCTCCTTGTTTGTTGTGTGGGTGTCTATTTTTGTCAAAGTTAGGTTGACGGTTGGACAAGATGATCTTTAAGGTCCCTTCCAACCTAGAAGATTCTGTGATTCTGTGTTGCTGAGGAGGGGGGCAGAGAGCAGCCCCCGGGGCGTCCCCTCCGTGTCCCCTGGGGGAGCCCATCCCCGTAGCCTCCATCCTGCTCCCCAGCCGGCCCCTGCTGGGTCCCCAGGCTTGTTGGCGGGCCCTGACGTGGTCCCCCCTGCACTTTTTTTGCAGACATGGGGAGCTTCGAGGACAGCGAGACGCAGCAGAGCGTGTCCCACGGGGAGGCGGCCGTCATCCGCGCGCCCCGCATCGCCAGCTTCCCCCAGCCACAGGTCACCTGGTTTCGCGACGGACGGAAGATCTCCCCCAGCAGCCGCATGTGAGTCCCCGTCCCCCCCACCCCGACATCCCTCCGACACTCCCCCAGCATCCTGGGGGGGGCTGCATTTCCCTCGGCTGCCCTTCCCTTGCAATAATGATGTTTAACAGCCGTTCGAGCACACGCTGCTAAAACCCAGCAACGGGCTCGCCGGCTGATGGCTCTGTTTGTCACTGGGGAAATGAATTGGTTTTTTTAAAAAAAATGAAAATAAGGGGGAGGAAGGCAGGTAAAAGGGGCTCAGCGTGGGCTAGGGGGGCGGGCACGGTGCACACGCGTGTGCCAGGCGTCCCCGTGGGGCTGCGGCAGACCCCGGTGCCGCCGGAGCCGCGAGCCCGGCGCTGGCAGCCGCAGCGTGCGGGGAATTGAATTTGTAACCCACATTATGCAGGAATTGAACTGGTCTCTCTTTTCTATTTGCAAAGCAGGATTGAGGAGATAAAACTCCTTTATCTCATATTTAATGGTAAAAAATATATTCCCCAAACCGTTTTATGTTTCCTGCAGATTAGATCGTTCCATAAAAAAAAAAAAAAAAAAAATAAAAAAAAATTCCTATTAATCTGCACTGTCTGATGTGCTCTGCTTGGCGTGGGGGGGTGTGGGGCTTGGTCTCGGCCCCCCATCCAGGGGCTGGGCTGACACAGGATGTGCTGTTGGAAAGTAATTAAAATGGACAGGTAGCAAACTCTCTGACCTTTGTCTAAAAAAAAAAAAAAAAACTAAAAAAAAAAAAAAAAGTCCTATTAATCTGCACCGTCTGATGTACTCTGTTTGGCGTGGGGGGGTGTGGGGCTTGGTCCTGGCCCCCCATCCAGGGGCTGGTGCCTGGGGCGGGCGGGAGGAAGGCTGGGGGGTTGTGTCCATCCCATGTGGTTGCTGGGTGGGGGTCCAAGGGTCCCAGCTCCCCACTTCAGTGTCCCTGTTGGGTTCCCATCCCCGTTGTCCCCACAGAGCCATCACGCTGGAGAACACCCTCGTCATCCTCTCCACGGTGGCCCCGGACGCGGGACGTTACTACGTGCAGGCGGTGAATGACAAGAACGGGGACAACAAGACGAGCCAGCCCATCACCCTGACCGTGGCCAGTGAGTGTCTGTCTGTGTGTGTGTGGGGGGGGGACACATCACCTCCCCCAGCCCCTTGTCCCCGCTCCGCCTGGCTCACCCCCAAGTTTAATTTGCAGTAAATCTCTTCGGAGGCTCCGGCTTCTGCTGACTTAACAATTCAGCCACCTCTAAATTTATTTAGGCGCTCAGGGCTGTGCTGCAGGCACTAATTGCATCCTGGGCAGAGCTGTCCCTATCGTCCCCACCGTCCCCACCACTGGGGCTGGATCCGGCCGTGCCCCCAGCACTGGGCTGGGGATGGTGCCGTGTAGCCCCAAGGGGAGCAGATTTTCTGGGGGACACCCCTCCCTGCTCGTCCCCATGTCCCCCCTCTCAGCCCCTCCCTGGGGGACACCCCTGTGGCCACATCCCTTCACCCCCCTTGGACCCTGCAGGACCTGGGTGAGGGGTTCGGGTGGTGACAGCCCATCCCAGGGAAGATGCCCCCCCAAAGTGGCATCGGTCCTGATGCTACTCTCATCCCACCTCCCCTCCTGCTGCTCCGCGGGGGGGTTCATCCCTTTCCCGTGGAGGGCTCTGCCTCTCCCCCTTCCCCTCCTGCCCCATTAATCTGTTTTTCTGTCCCTCGCCGTCCCCGTGCGCAATAAACATCCCGGAGCCCGTGTTTATGGATTCAGCTCTATCAGCAGCTTTCAAACCCATCGCCTTTTTACAGCCCCTACACGAGGGTTTTTTATTGTTGCAATCATTTTGCTTTATATACTCCCCTTCTCCCTCCTCCCTCCCTGCCACGCCGGCTGGTGGCCGGGCTGGCACCGGGGGGTGCCACAGGCTCCTGCGGGAGGAGAGGGCACAGGGAGAGCTGTGAAGCCACCCTGATGCCAAGGTGATGGGCTGGACCTGGCCACCCTTCCCGCAGGAGAGCAGAGCCTGTGGCCCTTTGGTCCCTGCCATCTTTGTCTTCTCCATACCAGGCAGAGTGGCCACAGTGCTTTGGGTGCCCCACCAGCCTCACTGGGGGCACCTGGGGGGTGAGCAGGGGGTGACGGGTGCTGATGGCTGTCCCCCACGGGGCTTTGGGTGCCCCACCAGCCTCACTGGGGGCACCCAGGGGGTGAGCAGGGGGGTGACGGGTGCTGATGGCTGTCCTTCTGGCCTCTTTCTCCCCAGATGTGGGTGGCCCAGCTGATCCCATTGCACCCACCATCATTGTCCCACCCAGGAACACCAGCGTGGTGGCTGGGACCTCGGAGGTGACCATGGAGTGTGTGGCCAATGCCAGGCAAGTAGGGATGGGGCATCTCCCCCTTGGCATCCCCCGGGGCTGGGTGCCCCCAGGTCCCTTCCCGACGGAGGGAGGTGGGTGGGGGGGATCGATGGTGATTCTTGACGTGCTCCTGGCCCCCCCAGGCCGCTGATCAAGCTGCACATCATCTGGAAGAAGGACGGGGTGCCCCTTTCTAGTGGCATCAGCGACTACAGCCGCCGGCTCACCATCCTCAACCCCGCGCTGAGTGACAGCGGCTACTACGAGTGCGAGGCCGTGCTGCGCAGCAGCAGCGTGCCCGCCGTGGCCGAGGGCGCCTACCTCTCCGTCCTGGGTGAGAACCTGCCTGGTGGGCAGCTGAAACCATCCCTGCAACGAGTTGGGGCAGTCTCAGCCCTTGGGGCTGTGACAGGCGGGAGTCACTTGATGGGGGGGGTGTTTGGTGGTGGTGGTGGGTCCAGGACCTCAGGTCTACCACGACCCCCCTGCCCATGGCTGGGCTTCCCTTTGCAGAGCCACCACAGTTTGTCAAGGAGCCGGAGAGACACATCACGGCCGAGATGGAGAAGGTGGTGGCCATCCCCTGCCAAGCCAAAGGTGAAGCTGTTCTCCAGCTTGCCCTCCAGGTGTGCCACCACGGCTTCCCCCTTCCTGACGTGCCCCCGGTTCTTGCAGGCGTTCCCCCTCCCGAGATGGCCTGGTACAAGGACGCTGCCCTCATCCACCTGGAGAAGCTCTCCCGTTTCCAGCTCCTGGCAGACGGCAGCCTGCAGATCAGCGGGCTGCTCCCCGACGACACCGGCATGTTCCAGTGCTTCGCCCGCAACGCAGCCGGCGAGGTGCAGACCACCACGTACCTGGCTGTGACCAGTAGGTGCCAGCCCCCCCCTCCTCTGGACCCCCCTGGGTGTAATGTGCCTGAGACCCCCCCTGCTAGGCTCCATGGGGAGCTTGGGGACCCCTCTTTGTGGGGATGGGAACCCCCCGCCGTGCCCTGGGAGCATTTTAGCTCCAGGCTGGGCAGCGGGATGGGCTTCAGGGGTGGCTGTGTGTCTGTCCTCCTCGCAGGCATCGCCCCCAACATCACCAGGGGTCCCCAGGACAGCACGGTGATCGATGGCATGTCCGTCATCCTCAACTGTGAGACCTCAGGGGCTCCGCGCCCGGCCATCACCTGGCAGAAAGGTAAAGGGACTGGGGACACTGGGGTGCGGGCAAGGCTGCCCCCCTCCTCCCCACATCCCAACATGCCCGCGTGGGCATCCTCTTGGTGGCCACCAGGGCTCTGTGGCCACCAGGCTTGGTTGGGGGGGCTGTGGGAGCTGATGGGGCTCACTCTGTGCCCCCCAGGGGAGCGGGTCCTGGCCAGTGGCTCGGTGCAGCTCCCCCGTTTCACCCTGCTGGAGTCGGGGAGCCTCCTCCTCAGCCCCGCACACCTCGCCGACGCCGGCACCTACACCTGCCTGGCCACCAACTCCCGTGGCGTGGATGAGGCGTCTGCCGACCTGGTGGTCTGGGGTAAGGCACCCAGCTCGGTGACAGCCAGGGTGGACCTTTAAGCTGGAGGGGAACAGATTTAGATTGGAGATTAGGAGAGGGTTCTTCACCGTGAGGGTGGTGGAGCACTGGAACAGGTTGCCCAGGGAGGTGGTTGAGGTCCCTTCCCTGGAGATATTCAAGGGGAGGCTCGATGAGGCCCTGGGCAACCTGGTCTGGTTGGGGGTGTCCCTGCTGGCTGTGGGGAGGTTGGACTAGATGGCCTTTGGAGGTCCCTTCCAGCCTGGACAACTCTATGACTCTATGACCCTGCCCAGCTCCATGGGCAGCAAACGCTGCCTCCCACCAGGCGTGGTGTGGGATGGAGCTCTCTGGGGATGCCAAGGGTGGGCTCTGGCATGTGGCTGGTGGTTCGGATGGGCTGTCCCCTGCCGATGCCACCCCTCCGGGGGCAGTGCCAGTGCCTCACCTTGTCCCCTCGCAGCAAGGACACGCATCACCGACCCACCACAGGACCAGAGCGTCATCAAGGGGACCAAGGCCGTCATGAGCTGCGGGGTCACCCACGACCCCAGTGTGGACGTCAGGTATGTGTGATGGGGATGGGAGGGTTTGGGGGGTCCAGGCACCCCCCCAGCCTGGGGGAGGGAGCAGGTAGATGGTGGGTGCCACCATCCCCAGCCCTGTGCTGGTGGTCCTGCAGTGCCACCTGGTGCCCTGTGCATGGGGAGCCTGGCACGCCGGTGGGACCCCTGGTCCCCTCTCCTTGTGGGGGGCTGCAGCACCTCTGGTATCCCCCTCACTGGCACAGGTACGTCTGGGAGAAGGATGGGGCACCGCTGAGCCCCGAGAGCGGCCCCCGGGTGCGCCTGGACGAGATGGGGACCCTCCACATCTCCCAGACCTGGTCGGGTGACATCGGCACCTACACCTGCAAGGTGGTCTCGGCCGGGGGCAACGACTCGCGCAGCGCCCACCTCCGCGTCCGGTGAGACCCCTCTCATCCCCACCAGCACCCCACACCCCAGGCTGTCCCCCCCCATCTCTAACCACCCCTTCCCTACCCCACCCTCCCCGTCCAGGCAGCTCCCCCACGCCCCCGAGAGCCCCGTGGCTTCCCTCAGCCCCCTGGAGAAACGGGCCATCAACCTCACCTGGGCCAAGCCCTTCGATGGCAACAGCCCCCTGCTCCGCTACGTCGTGGAGGTCTCCGAGAACAGTAAGGGGCTGCTCCCACCCCCCCAGCACCGCTGGCTCCGGGTGAACTCTGGGCTCCAGCATCACCCCAGGGCAGTGGGCAAGGGATGCTGTGGGGATGGTGGGACTCGTTAGCTGGGCAGGGGACCCTGGTGTCCTTCAGGTCAGGGTCCTCCACCCTGCTGCCCCCCCCTGCTTCTCCCCCCCACCCAGATGCGCCCTGGACCGTGCTGCTGGCCAGCGTGGACCCCGAGTTGACGTCTGTGGTGGTGCGGGGCTTGGTCCCCGCTCGCTCCTACCAGTTCCGCCTCTGCGCCGTGAACGACGTGGGCAGGGGACAGTTCAGCAAGGACACGGAGAGGTGAGTGATGGCCAGGGGTCCCGGAGGGGCTGGTGGGCCTGGGTGCTCACCCAGTCTCGTCCCCTCACAGGGTGTCCCTGCCCGAGGAGCCCCCCTCCGCTCCCCCCCAGAATGTCATCGCCAGCGGCCGCACCAACCAGTCCATCATGATCCAGTGGCAGCCACCCCCCGAGAGCCACCAGAATGGTGTCCTCAAGGGCTACATCATCCGGTAGGTGCCGGTGGGGGAGCGTGGGTGTCCCATCCCCAGTGTCCCAGGAAGCTCTGATGTCCCCTGGTCCCCAGGTACTGCCTGGCTGGGCTACCCGTGGGCTACCAGTTCAAGAACATCACCAACGCCGACGTCAACAACCTGCTCCTGGAGGACCTCATCATCTGGACCAACTACGAGATTGAGGTGGCGGCGTACAACAGTGCCGGCCTGGGGGTGTACAGCATGAAGGTGACCGAGTGGACGCTGCAGGGAGGTAGGCAGGGACAGGCAGGAACGGGCAGGGGCTTGGCTTCTACCCCAGCAGTGACAGGGGGACTGGTTTGGGGGTCCCATGGGGAGTAGGACCTACTGGGGAGGATGAGCAGGGGCTGCAGAGCTGGGTAGGGCTGGCCCAGAGAGGGGCATCTTGAGGCATCACCTTGGGTGTCCAGAGTCCTGGGGGGCTGGCACCTGGATGGTGGAAGGGGACCTTGTGGACCTGGAGCTGCTGTGAGCCGTCCCTTTGTCCCCGCAGTCCCCACGGTGCCCCCGGGGAACGTGCAGACTGAGGCCACCAACTCCACCACCATCCGCTTCACTTGGAACCCCCCCAGCCCCCAGTTCATCAACGGCATCAACCAGGGCTACAAGGTGAGGGGGGATTCCTGCAGGTGTCCCCAAAAACGGGGCACCCCGGGATGGAGGGGGACACGCTCCTCAGGCGACCGTCACAAACTGGCTCGACTCCTCCTCGCCGAAACCCCAGCTTTTAATTGGTTCCGGCCTGTTAAAATAATATTTACTGAGATTTAACACTTGCATGGGCTCGGAGTCTCCCATGCTCTGTAATTAATTCCAAATTGCAATTAATTCAAATTTACATTAATTACATTGAATTGAAACATTAAACTTGTTTCTTAATCCACTCAAAAGAAGTTCAGGAATTTAATTGCCGCTGAATGAGATAACCGGAGCAAGTAGGATATTTAACGTTCTTATTAAATGCCACTTAGTATTTTTGATTAGTATTTTTAGGGCCTAATTAGTATTTAATTAAGTTGTGCTACGGGCTATCTTGCACAATACCAATTAAATGCCCAAACATCCCTCCTAAATGGAGGCGAGCGGGTGATTACGCGCCGTTATCAATGGGAGTTAATCACAGAGCGCGTGCTCCGTGTCGGCTCGTGCGGGTAAACACGCCATGATGGAGGCATCAAGTGTTCCCTGCACCCTTAATTGATATTTAATCAATGCTGAAATAAATAACGAGGAGGCTGGAGGTGCCCGGAGGATGGTGTTTGTGGGGTACAGATGTGCACGGTGGGGACATGGGTACCATTGGGGGGGTCCTTCTCCCCGCAGCTCATCGCCTGGGAGCCGGAGCACGAGGAGGAGGCCACGGTGGTGACGGTGCGGCCCAACTTCCAGGACAGCGTCCACGTGGGCTACGTGGCGGGGCTGCGGAAATTCGCCGAGTACTTCACCTCGGTGCTGTGCTTCACCACCCCGGGGGACGGCCCGCGCAGCCCCCCC